AGAGAGCATGAATAATAGTAAACATGCCAAGAACAGCAGATGTGGGGTCTTTCCCCCCCACCACCTGTTCTTATTCACCTGCTACAAGCAAGCGCGTTCCAAAAATGTCCGACTTATCTTTCCAACGCACGCTCCCGTTTCGCTTTTATTTTCTGCCCCCTGCGTTTATCCTCGGCGCCCATCGAACTGCTCACTTTGGCCGTCTCTTTATCGCACTCCGCCGAGGGGCCCTAACGAGCACAAAAACTGGCCCCAGTTTGGACACGCCTGAAAGCAACCTCCGCCTCCATCGGAGCAGCCGCTGCCAACCCTTTGACCCCGTTCCACCCCACCCCCTCCTTACGCCAGCCCCCGTCCCAAAAGCCCGACTCCGGCTGCGACCCGGTGAGTCACATGTGTTAACCCCGGCTTACGTCCGCACATACACACACACATGAACGGCCAAGCGTCTGCAGGGCTGCCGCAAGCGTTCACGCAAAATTGATCGTCAGCACTCCCCTCCCCCCTTTTTCCTCCTCTCTCCCACTCGTACCCCCCTTTCACTCCACACTCCCCCTAATCCCGTCTATCTCCTTCCGGATGAAAGCAATTTTAGCTGGTTCCCACTTTTATTTAAACCATTCGAGGATGATGCGCTGGGGGTGAAAAAAAAGAAAGATGCAGATGACTAACTTGCTTTTTGGCTTGTTTGCTTGTCAGAAGGCCAAGTCGCTTTTTATTTTTGTCTGGTTTCTTTACTTTGCTTTCACGGAACGCTTTTGCGCTTTCTTCTAAGGCATCTCCAGTGAGAGTGTGCTACATGCAGATAGAAGAGCTTCGACATCGCTGCGAGTAAAAGTGCCCTGAATTCAAAATCTCTTCGTAGCCAATAAAAAGCTCTGAACATTGAAGTATCTTTTCTCTATAGCGGTCTTCTGAATACATTTGTACTATTACCAGCCCGTTTCTTGTTTATGTCTACTTAACTTACGTTAGGCAGTTTTTTTTTTTTTTTTCTTCCCAAGTGAAAATTGCAATGCCTGGAGTGCTGAAAACGCATTCATCTTTGGCCCGGCTCCCTCAAGCATATTGAATCTTGCTGGTTCTTTCTCTCGCACTGAAAAATAAGTACCATTGAAAATGTAATTGAAAGTAACTCAAAGCGGTGTACTAAAAAGAAAGATACCGACCAATTATTGTGTTATTGAAAGGGGGCAAAGCAAATAAATTATTCTGTCTGACAATATATATTTTTTTCCAGACCGCCAAATTTGATGGGAATCATTAAGATGCACAGAGGGCCATATCAGAAAGTTGAATATGTCCATGACTGCTGTTGTTAAAAAAAATATGGCTATTTTGATGAATTAGTTAGCAGGATTGCACTTGAATTACCAAACCAATTTCCACTGAACTTTGTGCAACAATAACAAATGTGCTTTTTTAATTTTTTATTACATACAGTCACATTGGCAAAAAGAGGATTATTTCTTTTAAGTCATAAACATATTTTCCATTTCATGCTAATTTGCACACATTTCTGTGAACCAGGAAGTAGCCTGCGAACAAATTAGTATTTTCTTGTTCTTAATCATTTTTTTTTCCCCCAAATGGTGAGTACTGCATTGCTATTGCTCGTCAAATCACCGTTAATATTGCATTTAGCTTCTCTGAGAGTCATAGTTGGTGCAACAGCAAAAAAAAGCAATCCACACAAGGAAATCATCCTTGGAAAGAAGATGCAAATCTTTTTAGTTTGCATTTCACTGACCAATATTGTGATCATACTGATAACTGATAATATTGGTCACCCTCATAACGATAGCGTGAAAATGTGCCAACATTTCATCACATCAACCTCCATGAACCAGGAGGCTGCGTTCAAACATGCAATGGTGGTCATTCCGTTCCTGTTTTGTCTCTCAAATACATATTAGAAACTGATGAATGTGTTTTTAAAAGATGTCGTTTTGAAGAATCCGGTATTCCACTAAAATCAGTGGAGGAGTATAAGACTAATGGACGTATGATTCTGGCAAATGCGAAGACGGTACCCCCCGCAAGTGGAGTTGAGAGTTACACTGTCTACTCATTGACATTGCGCTTGCTTTCAGCGCTTCATTATCTGATCTCGAAAACCGTGCCTCCCTTCAAACGGCCTCCGGAAAACTCCATTATTAATCAACAGCCACGCTGACACCAAAAGTATATAAAATGGGGTTTTAAAGAGACTCGAAGATGTGACTTTTTCTTTCCCGTCTGCTCTTTCACGTCGTCGCACCGTTGAAGGGCGTTTGCCTTTCTGGCACTCAATATTTTATTCATACGGTGGTGTTGAAGAGCAGTGCGAGAGGGCAAAGGCAGAAACAAAAGGGAAAAGTCCATGCAGACGGAGAAGAAAGTGCATACTGGAAGTAAAAAGCCAGCATGCTCATTATAATGGAACGGAAGGTTGTCGCGTTGTTGACTGTACACATCTGTTTGCCTCATAAGCTGTCTGGCAGATGCCAGTACCCAAGTGTGTAACTGCATGCTGATGTGCACTTATACGTTTGTGTCCATGTGTTTACATCAGTGGAACTAGAGTATAATGCTACTTGCGCAATCTGGCAAATAATAAGAAAAATCCCTCTGGTTCATTCCCCCCAGTTCAATTATGAAAGGTGAAGGGAATCCAGGGATGATGCTAGCTTGAAGTCGCTGTACAACAACATGACAGCATTGATTTGGGCGATATCTTTGACAATTTTCCTTAAGGTTGGCCATGATCTTAAATAAAAAAATCCGGTGTTAAGAGAGTCGATTTACTGGACCAGCAACGTAAACCTTACATTATGTTGCGGTTGACCCAACACCTAGCAAAGGCTAGCACCCACCGTCCGGCTAATACCACATGAGAGAAGCGCATTCCCTGTAAGCCGTATACATTTAAGTTACGTATCTTATATATGTGTTAATATCCACTTCGACTATAAAACACACACAGAAGACAACCATGACCGCTATCTTTAATGGACTGGTCCCTCCCCGTTGAGTGGAAACGCTTTCAAAGCTCTTGAAGGGATGATAACCAAACAATGGCTATTGTGACACTCAAGTTTGACAGCAATGCAGTGTGACATCATCTGGCACTGCGTTGTTCTTTCAAACAATGTGTAACAAGAGTATTTCAGACTTTGGATGATGGGTAACTCTTTTCATGCGAGTACGTGAGTCGGGGCCTTTACGGCACAGCTTTCCAAGAAGGGCAAGACGGCAGCGCAGCAAGGCAGGTTCAACCAGTAAGCGGTACGAGTTATTCCCCTTACGGCAGGTCTCTACTCGTCTGAAGGCTCGCAACAAGTCTGCAGCTTAATAACGATGCTCAACACGGACAAGAGGCTTTGTTCGTCTGTCGGCTGCCTGAACACAACGGTCTTCATAGAAAGATAGCAATAGCAGGATCCAATGCGACTCTTTGGGCTTAACAAGCCACCGTAGCCGTAGCATCGTAGGGAATATTAGCCCAGGTCTTTTGTTTAGCCATGCCGCTGCCGGTTTATTGCACGCATTTGCCAAAGCTGTTCCATAATTTTGAAACAATGTCGCAAAACCTGTGTTGAATAAGATGTTCTTCACACCCAAAATTATTTTGCAGCTCGAGTCACAGCACAAACGTGCAGAGCAAAAAAATGCAGCGGCAGGCTGCTGTCCAATGGGAGCGCAGATCGCCACACGCGTTGATGTGTTGATATTTCACTTGCAAGATGTACAGTGTGAATATAAACCGCAGCAAACAAACAAAAATAAAAAAGTCCGTTTTTAGTCCTGAACAAACAAGCTGAAGTTTGCCTAATATATCAATATTAGAGTCTTTATCCTCGGTGAAGAATGTCTCATTTGATTGTGGATTGACGGGCAATTTTGACCGGCGTCACCCACGCGCACACACCAGAAGGAGTAGCACAAATCTATTGATTTGAAGCCAAAAATAAGGGGGGGGGGCATTAATTATGTGATTACTGTCTGCTTTTATGAAGTAGAATATTATAGTGTGATATTTTTCGGATTAAAAACACATTATACATTTTGGGGTGGGGGTGGGGGGTTGGGGCGAGGTTTTATCATATTAATGAAATACTTTAAGTCAACATAATTCGTATGAAATAGTAAAAAAAAAAAAAGAAGTAGTAAGAAAAATACAAAACTGAGTATGTGTATGTAGTGGGTCGCTAATGCAGCGTTTTGAAGCGACAAATCAGGTAATGCGGAGGAAAATGGACTTGCTCCCCAACATTTAACCAGACCACAGTTTTGTTTAAGAGCCACAAAGGCTTCTTTAATACCTGTGTAAAATGCTTCACAAAGACCGAAAGACCAGTAAAATGTGGGAAACAACTATTGGCTGCCGTCTTTGATAATATGCAATTCTCAGCCTGGGCTGTGAAGCATATCAATGCATTATTGAATCAAAGTAGCTGGAACGAGACCTTAACATTTTCTGTCGATGAATTAGTGTAATCGTGCCATCACACTTCTGATACCGCCAGTCTTTTTAAACGCAGAAGAAAAATGACATTTTCCCGAGGACTTGGCACTTGCGACTTAATTCCCACATCTTTCATGTGCCTGAAATGAACAAGTTGAAAGTAGTTCCCTTCGAGTCTGAAGAAAAGCTGTTTTCCATCCTTTTAGCTCTCCGCACTCACTTTCACCTTAATACCTCCACTTCCCTGCATAAACGTGCGATTACAGTATCATTACAGTACCCATTTACCGGGACTTAGGTGCAGTGTTCCGGGTCTTTTGCGGGACACATTATGTCATTAAGTCATTATGAGCCAGGATACGGGAAAATAATACCCATTATATGATCGAGCGACGCTGAACACTACTTTCGTCTAAAGTCTCACCCGTGCCATTCTTCCGGTCTATTTGCCTGTCAGCCTGTGAATTTGCATGGGGCACTGTTGCAAGATCCTCAATCACGTTATCATTGTCCAAAACGAAAAGGTGGGAAAAGAGAAAAAAAATAGACTCACCCCAGAGTTAGGATACGCGGTCCAGCCCAGTTCAGCTGTGGCCACTCGAGTGTCCATCACAGTTTCTGCAGCAAGGAGAGAAAAATAAGGTTGTGGTGAGGAGTTAGCGGAAAAGAAGCATTTCGAAATATCATTCGAATGAGATGAACTGCATTCAGGCCTCAGTGATCACTTGACACGATCATTCATGAACCGAGAACAGACTGATGCCTCACAGCGATTCATCCATCTCGTAGGTTCAAGACCCGCCGTGGAGATTTGACTGAAGATGTGTGACTGGGCTACACACCCGAACGCTGCTTTGAATCTCAGTCCCGAGTCATGCCTCTAAACTCAGGGATCGGCAGGGGTGTCAAACTCATTTTTGTCAGTTTGCCTTGGAGGGCCGTTATGACATATCAAGACGTCAAGAATAACAGTTTATTGACCTATTGTTTAAGTTACTGTAATTAGGGTTTTGGAAACAAGAAAATGCTTAGAATATATCTCTTATTTATGACATATGAGAATTAAAAATTGTGGTAGACATTTTAGAATGATGTTGACATGTTTGAGCTGCTTTCACGGGCCGCATAAAATGATGTGGCGGGCCAGATCTGGCCCCCGGGCCTTGAGTTTGACACCATGCTTTAGTGCAAGAAATTTGAAAGGACGAGCTTTAGAACGGCACCGTCAAAGCCATCAAAACCCTTTTGAATGAAGTACAACAAAGATGGCCAGCAATCAGGACTTTTCCCAGGTGATCTTCTGAAGAACAGAAATTCCCAACTGCGTCATGTTCTGAGATCTTCCCGACTTTCTATTTTTGAGTTAAATTCTGATTGTCTCTGCGCAGGCATTTGAAATCCAAGGCTGTAGATTGAATACACCTGAGGTATGTTTTTCGGGCATTGTTATTGTTCGTCTTCAGTGTGTCACAATTACAGGAAGAGACCGACCCCATCCCCAAACAGCCACCAAAAAATAAAAAAAAAATGTTCACTATGCCTGACAAGAGGAACTGACTACAAGGGTTTAATCTTTTAACGAGAAAGGAAGGATGTCTTTTTTTGTGAGTGGCAACACACCCCCGAGGAGAGAAAATTGAACCGGTGTAAAATTGCACCAAAAGTTATAAACTGTAGCTTCCCTTCTGAATCGCTCCTCTGTGACACATAGTAGATAAATCAGTCTTGCAAGTCACAGGAGACATTTACTGTCTCAGTATTGATTAATGTCTGCTCTTTTGGCAATGTGAGCACCCCCCCCCCCAAAAAAAAAAGAGTAATTCACAATCCTCTCTGGATCGTTCATTCACATATTTAAAGTGATGGACATGTTGGCCTTTGTAACGTAATTTATGGAGTCATAATTTAGCTTCGTCTTTTCTGGGCCAGAGCTTCCAATTTTTTAAGTCGACCAGGATATATTTGACTTTTTCTCTTTCCACAACCTACCCATCTAATGTAATTTGTTGTATTTGGAGACAAATAGGTGAAAGGAATTTCAAGGCAATCATCCGCAGGATGTCAGAGTGTTGCTGACTTGGACGCGATCCATTTAGCACAGCAAACAGTTGGCTAGCACCACCCACACGTGTTGTTGATGAGGGAGATGAATTGCAAGCTGCAGACTCTCAGCCTCTCTTTGAAGGAGACGTTCCAGGCCCTTTAGCGCCTACCTTTTTTACCTTCTTCCACTCCAGGAAGCGTGCCCCCGCAGATGTCGCCTTTTTTTTTAAGATACGCCGCACTCAAAGCGATGTGGAAATCATACCAAATGGAGCTTTTGAAGCCTGTCATCCTTACATCAAGTGATCGTGGTTTTGGGGGGGGTGGGGAAAAAAAAAAATAAATATAAAAGCAAGTGAAACAGCGATAGCAACCGGCACGCTACATCCCCACTTACTAGGAGAGGCTGTCTTCAGACATGAAACCAATTAGCCCGAGGTAATTCCATGACACACAAATACACACACTCGCGCACGTTCACTAACTAAATTCAACTCGGAGAAGCCTTTTCAGTTCGCGTCCTCGACGACAGCCTTCTTCACGCCTAGCTTCCATCCCCCAATTTCCTGAAGATGAGCATCGCCTTGTCTTGTTTCCACAGCCCCAACGCTGCCATGCCTCGCTGCAGACTTGCTGTCAGCTGGGGAGGTAGGAGCCGCCGAGCGTCATACGGGCCAATGTAGCGCAGGCCTGCCAACACGTTCTCCGGGGAAATCACAAGAGATTTAGTCAAATCAAACGGGCTCTTGCTAAGGCCATCCTCCATTTCCTTTTCGAGGCGGACGGCAGAGAAGGGAAAGCACCGGATGGTGGTTAAAGGTGCAGACAAAAGGGGTCAAACGCTCATGGAAACGGTCGATGAACTAACTGTGTCTCGTGACCAAATGTCTGCCTTTGACACCAGAAGGAGAGGAAATGGAGTTTGCTAAGTGGTTATTAGCAATGAGGCGGAGCTCTTACACCTGACGACTGGCCTTTAGAATCTGGACAATGTCCTTCCCTCTGTTAGCGGGAGCGCTTCTCACGACGTGTCTTGTGGGCTTTTAATTATGAGCTAGATTTCAAAGTCGGGTATATTTTCAAACCATTCATGAAAAGAGGTCGTATCATTTGTGAGACATTGTTGAAACAATAAATCATCTGATGACAGTTACAATCCTATTTACTGTGTTTTATATGAGCCTGTCTATGACGTTCTCCATTGGCCTGAATACGTGGATGTAATCACAGTTCGTTGACAGTTGATGGGCAATAAAATCGGTAGCTGATTGATTAGTCGCTAAGAATCTGCGTCCCTTGTTTGCAAAGAAGAGTTGTTCAATCATGTCTCGAAGCAATTGGATGAAACCATCACGGGCTGGCTGATTGAGTCAATCAGTTCATCCATTTCGCAAAATGTCACGTATATTCGGTCAGATGTACGAGGCAGCCAAATTAGCTCACACAAATCATTCCCAAGATGAGTGAAACATAACAAACTGCGGGCCCCTCGCGCTTCAAGGGCAGCACCGGAATCCCGCATTTTGCTGTGTCAGCAAGCCACATTCAATTCAAAACCGCCAGGTGGGGAAAAACAAAAAAGTTCATACAGCGTGAAAAGTATTAATAAAGAAAGCTTAAGGCTGGCTTCACAACCACGGGTCATAAATCTATTGGAAAACAATAGCTTGTAGGTGTCGGACTCGTCATCTTTTGATGGATTTGAGCAGTTACAAGGCTGCAGCACGTACTGCGGAGATGTTGCGGAATATTAGTTCGTGCAAATCATGTGACGGATGTGGTTTTGCTCGTCAAAAACACCGGACCCGCGCGCGATCAAGACCGAACCCAGGACCCAATGCATCTAACCTGAGAGGGCACAGATATTCCTCATTAGGGACTCTTGATGGATCAATAGCAAATGGCGGTCTCGTTCTACGAGTGCAGAGAAGGGAGGGAGGTGGGGGAGAAATGATAGAGCGAGGGAGACTGCATTAAACATTGATGGGGACCCTGTGGTAGAGATCGATAAGGCAGTGCTCTCTTTGCACAATTACACGTCAGCAAGCAGCCGCGTGATTCATCACATGATTAGACATGGAAAACACTTGGACCTGAAACCAGAGCGGCGGGAGGAGATGGTCGCACTGGTTGGCACTCTTTGAGCTTCCACGTATGGCTTTATGGTTTGCGAATGGTAACGTAGCTGTGTAATTCAAGCCCTTGTGGCCTTGGATGCATGATTGCACGGCTGCCGGTCGATAGAACATATGCTGAAAGCGCCTCTCTGAAGGCTCTTCAGTCAATAAGGCGGACAATTCTCCGCAGATTTCCCTTCTCATCCCAGAACACATCTTTTCCATTCATCTGTGCTTTACCACGTACCCCCAGAATCATGCTCCCACCCCTCCACCCCCCCCCTTTCCCGGCCGTCAAGGATGTTGGCACACTTTGCAATTCAATGAGACAATCATGTCCAGCTGCTGAACGCTAAGCTTAGAGGACCCTCACTTTGTGATTGGCGCAACAAACTGAAATCAGATCTTTGGGGCCTTGAGGACAGATATTTCAGAAGGGATGTATCCTTTCTTAGATGTGGAGTCAAGATGGGATGATAAAGATGGGGGGAGAGAGAGAGAGAGAGAGAGAGAGAGAGAGAGAGAGAGAGAGAGAGAGAGAGTAAATGGTGAAAAATAAAGGGAGAATTCAGCGGGCCTGAAATGAGCACTTAACAGTGATGAAGCCCCATGGTGGCTTAGTGTGCTGAGCCTGGCATCTTAATACTAGGCTGAAAACAAAGTGGCCAACATGCATGACTGAAAGCTGCTGCGTCTCCCAAAACTAATCAGCCGACCACTCAAGGGGATTTTCTAAATTTAAAAAAAAAAAAAAAAAAAGGTGGGGAGAGCATTTCTGACAGCAATTGCCAAACAAATTATTACAATTAAAAAGGCGGTTTAGGCAAATCAATTCATTTGACCAATTATTTGCTGATTAATTGTGTCTCAACATAATCAGCAAAATAGAGCGCGGCACTTTCCAAGAACATTCAGGCTCAACCGGTTTATGGTCTAAAGAAGAAGGACAGGACAACAACAACCACCATCCCAAACCTGAGAGATGCCCTCGTCTCTGAATCATAACTTTGAAAAACACCACGACCAATTTGATATACACTGGCACATTAAAGCACCTTACAGGATCAATATCGGACAAAAATCAACTTTTTGGAACTCTTAGCCATGCTAAAATGCTAATTAATCGCCAAAACCAGCCCCAAAATGTTGTTTTAGGCCATTAGCGTTCTTGCTAATTTCTGCTCTCGAAACGGTAGCCGCGCCCAATCCAAGAAAACAAATGGGTTCGCTCAGTAGAAAATTGAGGCGCCACCGAGTACCGCCCATGCAGACTGAACACATGCCCACTTTCTCCGAGCAGTCAGCGGGACGCCCAACCAGCGTATCCGGGAAAGAGGCACGAAATACAGCCACCTTGCCCGAGACGCCGGCCGGCCTACCCGGCGACGGACCATTCAACAGCTGTTTCTCGAGTCGGCATTTCTTCGAGGCCAGCCTGGTGAACCTTAACCATTACAA